GGAAAAGGCGGAGCGAAGCGGCACCGCAAAGTGCTCCGTGATAACATCCAGGGCATCACGAAACCAGCCATCCGGCGCCTGGCTCGCCGTGGCGGGGTCAAGCGCATCTCGGGCTTGATCTACGAGGAGACCCGCGGGGTGCTGAAGGTTTTCCTGGAGAATGTGATCAGGGATGCGGTCACCTACACTGAGCACGCCAAGCGCAAGACGGTCACTGCCATGGATGTGGTGTACGCTCTGAAACGCCAGGGCCGCACTCTCTACGGATTCGGCGGTTGAGCAAATCGACCCTTCTCCAGCGAACCCAAAGGCTCTTTTCAGAGCCACCCAAAGTTTCCGATTGAGAGCGGAGAACCGAGGACGGGCAAAGCAGTGCATAGGCCGAGAATACTGTACTTCAGCTGGTTATTTCGCATCTTTAACGACTTTTAATTTGGCTTAATCCTTTTCAAAAATGTACACTTTAGATCCTGCATTACGGGAGAAATTTTTCTAATCAAAAATATCCTTACAATGCACAGGTTTTTCGGCCACTCGACATTATACTAATTGTGTCACATTGCAGCCAAGATTTAGAAGCAGCATTCGGCTGTTCTGCCTATCCAGTCGGCTCTGTCATTCGATCATGGTTGGTATGTTTCTCAACCATATTGAACCTTATCGCGTTAACTTTTGATCCTCTTTCTATCTCGGTAATAATAGCAGTATGTGTAGTTGGCTGTCTATGCCATGTGTTTTTTCATAAATTTTGTGATCCAGACGCTAATGCTACATATTGCAGTATTTCAGTGAACCTTCCAGGGAGGATACTTTGTTCAGTTTTGATTCTAGCAGCCGTACCTATGTTTTAGTGGCGTGTTCTTTCCATCTGCCTGTTACAGACAGCTCCGGCACCAATTACAAATTGTGTTCGGGTTAACTATAATCTGGGTGAAATAAAAATGTAGCGATAAAGTGATGTTCTGTACTTTTATGGGCGTACACTGTAATTAGCTTTTAAGATGTTTAAATCGGCGGGTTTTTTAGATTAACGGTGGTTATACATTCGGTTGATAAGTTTGTCTGGGCTGTATTAAATCCAACGCTTTCCTCCTGCCCGTTACAGACAGATCAAAAAAAAATCCTGCGTCCTGTCTGTGCTTGCCTGCAAGCTAGGTTTAAAAGAAAATTCAGTAATGTATAAGATGTAATTTTAATTGAAGACGAATGGTGTTTTTCGTCTTTATTTATTTACTCACTCTCAGGGTGAAATCGGCGGGCTATTCGAAATTGGTAAACTGTCATTTCAAATTAACCAATCAGCCTTCAACAATTGTTTTACTGCCTTTTCCGTACCTTCCGGAGCTGTTTCTCAGTGGGTTGAGGGACGGGACTGTATCCAATCCCAGCTCTAAGGCGGGCTCTCAATTACCTTAAATAGGCAGCACCGCAGTAACCTCAGCATTGATAGCAGCAGCCTGTGTGTGTTTTGCAGAGAGTTGAAGAGAATAGCCAGAACCAAGCAGACAGCGCGCAAATCCACCGGAGGGAAAGCTCCCCGCAAGCAGCTGGCGACCAAAGCGGCCCGCAAGAGCGCTCCGGCCACCGGCGGCGTGAAGAAGCCTCATCGCTATAGGCCCGGCACAGTGGCTCTGCGGGAGATCCGCCGCTACCAGAAATCGACCGAGCTGCTGATCCGCAAACTGCCCTTCCAGCGCCTGGTGCGGGAGATCGCTCAGGACTTCAAGACCGACCTGCGGTTCCAGAGCTCGGCCGTGATGGCCCTGCAGGAGGCCAGCGAGGCTTACTTGGTGGGGCTGTTTGAGGACACCAACCTATGTGCCATCCACGCCAAGCGAGTCACCATCATGCCCAAAGACATCCAGCTGGCCCGCCGGATCCGCGGGGAGCGCGCCTAAACGGAGCGTGCCCGGCCCTGCACGTTAACCCCGAGAAACACAACGGCTCTTTTCAGAGCCACTAAACCATTCAGAGAGCAGCAATCAGTTGGGATGCTTGCTTATTTAATAATACACCTATCCTTTTCTGTTGTTGTGCTCCATCGTTTCGGCTGTTATTAAAGAAGTTGAATCAGGCTGAGAAATGCATTTGTCACATTAATTTGAAGACAAAATTCAAGCAGCGGCAGCGAAGTTAGAGATTGATCACAGAACATAACTGAAGGTTCCGTGTATACACGAGATATATGATTGACAGAAAGCAGCAATCGGTAGGCGCGATTTCCTTATTTAATGTAAACACAGCGTGCTGTTGCTGCAGTTTGTCAATGCAGCAGCAATTACAGGAACTGACTGGGTCTGGGAGATGCGCTCACGTCACATTTAAAGACAAAAGTTATAAGTTGAGATTTTACCAGTCGTCACAAAATACAATTGAAGCAGTGGACTCCGTGGATGCAAAAGCTTACAAATTCCCGATAAAACGCCTGTGTGCCCATTGTCTCCCTTGGTTTTTTCCCCAGTTATAACTGTAAATTTCAAAAGATTTTAAAGTATAGGGCACACAATCTCTCTTTTTCCCCCTTCCAGTATACTTCAGTATATGCTCTTCGGAGGGTCGATTCAGACTCGAAGGGCCTCTTTCTGCTGCGGAGGCATTGCATGAGGTTGTTCCCTGTCAGCGTATTAATAGAAACACGCCCTTTAGCTATTATTTATATGTCCCTGTCCCTTACTGCAAAATCACCAAATTTACTATTCCAGTCAGACAGCTGTTCTAGTTTTATCTTGGCTCATTCTGAAAGTCTTTAAAAAAAAGACAAAAAATCTCATTAGAGGGTCGAGTCTTTACATTAAAAGAACTAATAGGCTACTAGTGACTGTCTAGCTGCTTTTCACTGACGTTGTGGGTGGCTCTTAAAAGAGCCTTTGGGTTGTCAGATGAAATAACGGTCTCTTCACTTCTTAGTGGCGCCCCCTGCGGTGGTTTTCTTGGGCAGCAGCACGGCCTGGATATTAGGCAGCACCCCACCCTGAGCGATGGTCACCCCTCCCAGCAGCTTGTTGAGCTCCTCGTCGTTGCGCACGGCCAGCTGGAGGTGCCTGGGGATGATGCGGGTCTTCTTGTTGTCCCGGGCCGCGTTACCGGCCAGCTCGAGGATTTCAGCCGTCAGATACTCGAGCACCGCAGCCAGATAGACCGGCGCTCCGGCACCCACACGCTCAGCATAGTTACCCTTTCTCAAGAGCCTGTGAACACGACCCACCGGGAACTGCAGGCCAGCCCGGGACGACCGGGACTTGGCCTTGGAGCGAGCTTTCCCACCAGCGCCCTTTCCTCTCCCAGACATTGCCACAATCTCACAAGCACTTTCACAGAGAATGATACAATACGCTCACATTCCGGCCTCTTAAACCTTCGGGAGGAATGGAGGTGCGGCCATTGCTGATTGGTCACATTGTTCAGTATCTCCTACTATAGCTTCAATTCCCAATCAGATATCTGCTTCACTCACCAATCCGGAGAGGGCCCGGGGAGGAGGCCGGAAAATACCGGCGCCAAATCATCAACCGCTTTCTTTCTGATTTGAAAAGCCCGCCAATATGTACAAAACAGGAGGAAGTTTTACAAAGAAGAATGCGTTCATACTTCAGATAATTTATTTTTAGAATACACCTGTATACTTCACACAATCTCTCTCTGATTTCCCGGCCGAGGTGAATCGTCTATTTCTGACCATTTTTTTCCCCCTGAACCTTAAGAATAAACGGAAGCAAAAAAAAGGAGCCCGCCGAAAATTATTCTCTGCACACATTCATTTTATTTCACATCAGCACCCGGATATATTGACAAAAGTATCACACAAATATTTCTTTCTCGTTGAGCGCATTACTGCTTTAAACAAGATTTTACAATCGCACTCCCTATTGCACGAGATCAACAATATTCCTACTTTTGCGATGCCAGACCGGCAGCTGTTCTGCTTTCATCTCGGTGCACTTTGAAATTTTCCCGACGACAGCAGAAAGCCTCATTTATAGCTTTCTGCAAAACCGGATAGAACCCGCGGGGAGATTTGAAAATAAAACAAAATTCCTCTGCGTGGAAACAGTAGGAAAATACCGGCGCCACATCATCAACCGTTTACTTTCCGATTTGAAAAGCCCGCCAATATGAACAATACGAGGAAGACGTTTTCCACAGAATAGCGCATAAATGCTTACGATTTAATTTCCTTTTAGATTACAAATGGATTCTTCACATAAACTCTCTTTCTCGCTCCCTGAGCAACACCGTCTTCCGAAAATATTGTAAAATGGCCCTCACTTATTGTGGTAGATCAGACTTCCCTGTTTCTTCGGTTCATTTTGAAAGCCGCTCACCGACAATAGGAAGCCCCACATACTGCATTCTGAAAATAAATTCGGATAAATTCACGTAGAGATTTGGAAATTGAAACAAAACAGAAATCGCACGATACTTCTATTCGTGGGTCTCAAATACGGGGTCATTCATTTTCGTTGCCACGGGAGAAATTTAGGATTCATTATCCACCCGGACAAGTTTGAAACACCGTCCAACATGTAAGAAATAGGAAAATGTTTTACAAAGAGGAATAAATAATTCAGTTTTTCTTTGAATTTAATTCACTTTCACGTTACAAGTGCATCCTGCTATATTTATAAAACCTCACATAACGTTCTTCCGGGTGAGCGCGTTTAAACTTTAAACAATAGTTTAAAGTTGCCGTCCCTAATCAAACTTCAGCCAGTTTCACACTTGCTATCGCAATCCGGCAACTAATCTGGCTTGATCTCAGTTCATTTTGAAAGCCTCTCATCGACAGCTGAAAGCCTCATTTACAGCATTCTGCAAAAATCAGACGAAGTCTCAGTGGAGTTTTGAAAATTTAATAAAAAAGGAAAACTAAATTGCAAAATCTATTCGTGGGACTCGAACAGTTACTTTTCTTTCCTGAGGGTGAAAGTCGTGTTTCATACCCCACGGGGCACTGTAGCTTCTGCCCTGATCATGGGTTAAAGAGTAACTGGAAAATATAGAAGTTGGTGAAAAATGACTCCGTGACGATAAATATCTCTCTATACATGCAGGGAAAAGAGACTGGGTATGTACGCAACCGAGAATAAAGGGCAGAGGGTCAGGGACCACACGATAACTTTTTGAACCTTTATTAAAAAGGAACACAAAGTTTAGGGACATTAATTATACAGACCCAGAATCAATTATTAAGTTAAAACTTCATTTCTGAAGAAGGGTCTCGACCCGAAACGTCAGCTTTCTTGCTCCTCTGATGCTGCTTGGCCGGCTGTGTTCATCCAGCTCGACACTTTTATGTCTCAGATTCTCCAACATCGGCAGTTCCTACTATGTAAGTTAAAACGGTTCAGCTGTTTCAGTGAAATTGTGGGTGGCTCTTAAAAGAGCCGTTGGGTTTTGGTTGTGTGTTTTTCAGCACACTGTGGTGTCTCACTTGGAGCTGGTGTACTTGGTCACCGCCTTTGTACCCTCCGACACGGCGTGCTTGGCCAGCTCCCCGGGCAGCAGCAACCGCACGGCGGTCTGGATCTCCCGGGAGCTGATGGTGCTGCGCTTGTTGTAATGGGCCAGGCGGGAAGCCTCCCCCGCGATACGCTCGAAAATATCGTTGACGAACGAGTTCATGATGCTCATGGCCTTGGAAGAGATGCCGGTGTCGGGGTGAACCTGCTTCATCACTTTGTAGATGTAGATGGAGTAACTTTCTTTCCTGGATCGTTTCCTTTTCTTGCTGCCTTTCCCTGGCGCCTTCTTGATGATTTTCTTCGCGCCCTTCTTGGAGGTTGGCTGCGCTTTCTTCTCATCTGCCATACCGACAGTCACTTTCAGACACAGAATAAGGGAAAGCGGGCTCGGAGCTCGCATTTTATAGCCTGACGGCGTCAGCAATGCTAATGAAGAATGGGGGAAATCCTTGTTCCTCATTGGGTAGTTCACAAAAATGTCAGACCATGAGATTAGCCTTTCTGTGATTGGTTAGTGTGGGACACAATGTGGATCTGTCAGGATCTGCAACGAAATGTGAAACACAAACCGAAATTTTGTACACGGATCAAACTCCTTGCTCACTCTAAATTTAACTAGTTATTGTCATTTAATGATATTTTGAACACAATACCTGAGAGTTTTTAATTGCGACAATGTATTTATTCTGCTCACAGCAACCTTTTGTGTGTAACATTAGTTTGTTTCATTACTCTGTGAGTTCTGCATTACACTGTGAGCAGTATTGTGTTGTTAAGAGATCGAGGTTTAATGAGGGATAGTTTGTCGAATATCTGTCAGTCTCTGCTATATGAAAATGGGAGTGCAGTTATCCATCTGACACTGTCTGTTGATGCAGGGTGGATGATTATTACTCTCTCACAATCTGTTCCTGTCATACAGTCATAAAGATGTACAGCACTCTTGGGTCCACCTCATCCATGGCAACCAGATATCCTAAATTAATCTAGTCCCATTTGCCAGCATTTGGCCCACATCACTTTAAGCCCTTCCTATTCATGTACCCGTCCAGATGCCTTTTAAATGTTGTAGTTGTACTGACCTCCACCACTTCCTTTGGCAGTTCAATGCAGTTACGCACGACTCTCTGTGTGCAAACATTGCCCACCTTAAGTTCCTTTGAAATCTTGAATTTCTCATCCAAAACCCATGTCCTCTAGTTTTGGACTCCACTGACATGCTGACCATGGTGCCCTCTCAGCTGCTATTGCCTCAACAACTTTCTCCGGCAGCCTATTCCACATATGCACCACTCCCTCAGGTCCTTCTTAAATCCCTCTGTTATTTTTGATAACATTCCTCACAATCAACAATACCTCCTAATTTTGTATCATTGGAAAACATACTAATTATGCCTTGTACATTCACATCAAGATCACTTACCACATAATCATAGAATCCCTACAGTGTGGAAATAGGCCCTTCGGCCCAACAAGTCCATGCCAACCCTCAGAGCATCCCACCCGGACCAATCCCCTCTATAACCCACCTCACCGACACATCCCTGAACACTACGGGCAAATTCCCAGAGCCAATCCACCTAGACTGCACATCTGTGAACTGTGGAAGGAAACCGGAGCACCCGGAAGAAACTCATGCAGACACGGGGAGAATGTGCAAACTCCACACAGACAATTGCCTGAGGATGGAATCGAACCCGGGTCCCTGGTGCTGTGAGGCAGCAGTGCTAACCAATGAGACACCGAACCACCCAACAAAGGCCTCAGCACCAACCCCTGTGGCACACCACGAGTCACAGGCTTCCAATCCGAGAAACAAGCTTCAACCATCACACTCTGCTTCCTAACCATTGAGCCAATTTTGAATCAAATTAGCTAGCTCTCCCTGGATCCCTTCATTACTAGCCTGCCATGCAGGACTTTGTCAAAGGCCTTACTAAAGTCCATACAGACTACATCCACTGCCCTCCCCTCATCTATCCACTTGATTACCTCTTCAAGAAACTCAAAGATTTGTCAGATGTGCCTTCCCGCACACAAATCCATGCTGACTATCCGTAATCAAACCTTGACTAGCCAAATGTTCATTGATCCTGTCACTCAGTATCCTCTCCAATAACTTGCCTACCGCTGATGTTAGGCTCACTGGCTGGAAGTTCCCTGGATTCTCTTTGCTCCCTTTCTTAAACAATGAAACAACATTAGCCATCCTCCAGTCTTCCAGAGCTTCACCAGTGGCTAAAAATGAAGCAAAAATCTCTGCAAGGGAAGGGCCTGTGCAATTTCTTCCCTAGCTTCCCACAAACTCCGAGAATGGACTTGATCAGGCCTCGGGAATTCATCCACCTTAATACGATCTAAGGCTGCAAACACTCCCTCTCTGGTAACATGTATGCAGTCCAAAATATCTCCACTTCCTTCCCTTATTTCCTTAGCATCCATGATTCGCTCAGCGAACACTGAGGAAAAATATTCCTTAAAAATCCTCCCCATTTCCTGTGGCTCCACACATGGACCACCATCCTGATCTTTAAGGGGACCTCTTCACTCCCTAGCCAACCTTTTACTCCTAATGTAGCTGTAGAGACTCTGGGGATTATCTTTAACCTTTTCCGCCAGATCCATTTCATGCCATCTTTTTGCTCTTCTGATTTCCCTCTTAAGTGTGCTCCTACACTTTTTATAGTTATCTAGGGATTCACTTGAGTCTGATAGCTTAAACCCAATGTATGCCTTCTTCCCTTTCCTGACCAGACCCTCAATATCTCAGGTCACCTTCTTCTGTCAATTTCTGTCATCCAAATGTGTGACATTATTAGTCTGTACCTTTCGATCTGTGCCATGTGAATGTGTGGGTGTAGTTCTCAATCCATGCCTGACAGAAAATGCATGAGTGTTGTTACTCGTACCTACATGTCCATTCTGTTGTATCAATACAAGAGTGCACGCATTAGTCTGTACCTGCCAATTTCTGCTCTGACAATATGTGAGTTTAGTTTCTGTTAGGCAGATGTGAGAGTGTAGTTATCACACTGTACCTGGGAGACTTTATTCTGTGACTATTTCAGTGCAGTTGTCACACTGTACCTGCCAGTTTTTAGTTTGTGAAAATGAGAGTGTGGTTTTAAATCTGTGACTGTCAGTTTCTCCTAAGTGAGTTTGTTTGTACAATTATCAGTCTATTCCTGAAAGATTCTGCCGTGTGAATGTGTAATTGTAGTTATCATTCTGTCCATATCAGTCTTTGCTACGTGAATATATGAGTGTATTTACTAATTTGTCCCTGTCAGTTTCCTGTCATGTGAAAATGGCAGTTTAGTTATCAATCTGTTTATTTTTGTATGTGCTCTGTGAATATTTGGCAGCAGTTATCACTCTGTACCTGTCAGGTTATGCTCGATAAATAAATTTTCAGTCTATCCATGACAGTTTCTGTTATAAGAATGTGAGAGTTTAGTTGTCACTCTGTTGCTGCCAGACTCTGCGATGTGAATGTCTGAATGCTTTTATCAGTTTTTCCCTGTCAGTTTCTGTGATGTGTGCATGTGAGCGTGGTTATCAATTTGTACCTGCCATTTTCTGGTACGTGAATATCAGAGTTTGGATATCAAATAGTACCTGTCAGCTTCTGGTGTGTCAATATTTGAGTGCACTTATCTGATACGCAAAGGATGGGAGTGTAGTTATCTATCTGTCACTGTCAGTATTTAAAGTGTGAATGTAGTTATCTATCTGTACCTGTTGGTTGCAGCTGACGAGATAACGTGAATGCAGTTACCAATCTATGCTAGTCAGTTTCCGCTATGTTAAAATATGAGTTTAGTTATCAATCCATGCCTGTGAGTTCCTGCTCTGTGAATGTATGACTGTCATTATCAGTTTCTACCTCAAAGTTTCTGCTATGTGAATATGTGACTTTAGTTATCGATCTGTACCTGTCAGTTTGTCATGTGAATGTGTGATTGGTATCATCAATGTGCCCCTGTTAGTTTCTGTAATTCAAATGTGACTGTAGTTATTAACCTGACCCCTTCAGTTTCTGCTATGTTAATATGGGAGTGTGGTTATCCATCTATGCCTGTCAGTTCCTGCTATGTAAATGTATGGCTGTCATCATCAGTCTTTACCTGTCAGTCTCTGTGACATAAATGAGAGTTTAGTAATTGATCTGTACCTGACAATTTCTGTTAGGTTTATGCGTGAGTGTCAGTTAATATTCTACGAAACTGGGAGTGTTATTATCAATTTGTTCCTGTCAGTTTCTGTATAGGCAATACGGGAGTGCAGTCATCAATCTTTCTCAGACAGTCAATGCTATCTGAATGTGTGTGTGTATTTATCAGTCTGTTCCTATCAGATTCTGCACTGTGAATATGACAGTGCAGTTGTTAGTCAGTACCTGTCACTTCCTGCTCTGTGAATGTTTGTGTAATTATCATTCTCTCCCTGCCCGTTTCTGCTATGTGATTGTGAGGTAATATCAATCTGAATGTGTCAGTTTTTGTTTTAAACTCTGTGACTGTGAGTGTCATTTTCAGTCTCTATAGTTTCTGCTATTACAATATTTGAGTTTAGTTATCGATCTGATGTTAGCTTCTGCCAGCTGACTATTTGAGCACAGTTATCAATCTGTAACTGACACTTTCTGATATGCAAGTGTGATAGTGTAGTTCTCTGCCTGTTCCTGTAGGTATGTGCAATGTGAATAAGGGAGTGTAGTTATCTGTCTGTCTCAGTCAAGTTTCTGTCATGTCAACTTGTGAGTGTCATGAATCTGTCCCTGCAGGTTACTGTAATATGCATGTGTGACTGTAGTTAACAACCTGTCCCTGTCATTTTCTGCTGTGAGAAGATGAATATAGTTATCAATCTATGCATGTCAGTTTCTGCAATGTCAGTCTGTGAGTTTAGTTATCAATTTATCCCTGGTGTTTTCTACTCAATCAATGTGTGTAGTTATCAAACTGAACCTGTCAGTTTATGCTGTGTAAAACAGAGAGTGCTATTATCAGTCTATTCCTGACAGTTTCTGCTGTGTGAATATGACAGCGTGGTATCGATCTGGACCTTTCAGTTTCTGCTCTGTGAATGTGTGAGTGTAGTTGTCAACCCAGTCCTCACAGTGTGTGTTATGTGAATAAATGCAGTTATCTATCTGTCTCTGTTATGTGAATGTATGAGTGCCATCATCAATCTGTACCTGTCAGTTAATGCAATTGGAATGAGAGAGTGTCATTATCACCCTGTACCTGTCAGTTTGTCGGACTTGAATATGGGAGTGTTGTTATCCATTGACGCCTGTCAGTTTCTGTAACATGAATGAACAAGTGCCATTATCAGTCCATACTATTCACTTTCTGCTGTGTGAAGATGTGAGTTCATTCTCAGTTTCTACCAGTCAGTTTCTGCTATGTTAATATCAGAATCTGTACCTATCAGTTTCTGTGAGATGAATTTGCGAGTGCAGTTTTCAATATGTAACAGTGAGGTTCTGCTCTGTGAATACTTGAGTATAATCATATATCTATACCTGTCAGTTTATGCTATGTGAAACTGAGAGTGTTATCATCAACCTGTTCCTGTCAGTTTCTGCTATCTGGGTACCTGAGTATAGATATCATTCTCTTTCAATCAGTTTCTACTCAGTGAATATGTTTCTGAAATTATCAGTGTATCCATGACACTGTTTTGCTATGTGAATGTTTAGTTATCAATTAGTTATCAATTTAGTTATCTGTCAGTTTCAGTTACGAGAGTGAGAGTGTAGTTATTACAGTTTTTAATACATACTGATCAGGTACTCAACTTCAATAGCAATCATCCCAATACCCACTAATGGAGCTGCATCAAAACACTGTTCAAGTGAGCCACAACACACTGCAGCACCCGAAGCTGTGTAAAGCCAAGGAGGAACACCGATACAGTGTCTATAGAAACGACGGTTACCTGAAAAGCGTAGTCCGTCGATACCTACACAACAGACGACAAGTGGATAACACAGCACGTCCAGAGACACTAGTCACCCGACCATACATGAAAAACATATCAGAAATGACCACCATATTATCCCGATCCAACAACCACAACTGACAGAACCAACGTTATTTACAAGATATCATGCAAAGACGCCAAAAACATTACAAAGACCAAACTGGTAGGAAATTAGCCATCAGGATTCATAAACACCAAGTAGCTACCAAGAGACATGACCAACTATCACTCATCTCAATGCACATGGACAAAGAGGGACAGTAATTTGACTGGGACAACATAGTCATCCTCGGACAAGCCAACCAAAGACATGCATGAGAATTCCCGGAGGCCTGACATTCAAACTGGAATGCCATTAACAAATACGTAGAGCAGGACCCCATATACCAACCATTAAGAAACAAATGCGGAAGTGATGCCATCCACCCCAGCAAACTGCAGCACATAGACAGCAAGCAGGACAGAACAGCAACACATCACCAGAGGTGCACTGAAGGTATTATGTAGTATGGTGACAAAGTGTCTGTAAACAAATAACAACAAGCTCGGCGAGCAAGTCAACAACAGCATAGTTATTAATCTGACCCCGACAGTTCCTGCAATGCAAGTGTGACAGCAATTATCAATGTGTACCTGTAAGTTTCTGCCAGCTGAGTGCCACTGTTCTCAATCTCTGTAAGTTTCTGCTTGGTGACCATGTGAGTGCAGTTATCAATAAGGACCTGACAGATTCTGCTCTGTGAATGAGAGTAGTTATCAAACTGTACCTGTCAGTTTATGCCATGTGTAACCAGGAAGGCTGACTCCAGCATCTGCAGTTCTTGCTGTCTCCAAGGTTATTACCAATCTCTTCCTGTCAATTTCTTCTATATGGATTTGTGCACGTACAGAAACCTGTACCTATCAGTACCTTACAATTTGCAA